CCAGGGACGGCCACAGCGTGGGCCACAAGCTGCCGGGGCGGTCTCGGTAACGAGCATTTGTCCTGGGATTAGAGAGCGGCCAAAGGACACGCTGTGAAAACAAGCCGAGACAGGAGGAGGTACAGCTGGGCTGCTGGCTCGTTCGGAGGGGGGACGGCGCCAGGGAGGGCTTTGCGTTTGCTTCCCCTTTCCTTGGGGGCTCGCGAGAGCCCTTTTGTCGCCGGTACAGGTCACGAGTGCTGCAAGGGCTCAGGCACCAGCGGCCGTGGCGGGGGGGGCAGAGGCCCGCCCGTGGGGAGCGGGGCTGGAGCACCCAGCTGCAGCCCACCGCAGGGCTCCAGACCCGCAGGCACTGCCACAGCTCCCGGCAGCGCTGGCCCTCGCCTCAAAACCAGCCCAAGCCGCTGCCCAGGATCCCGAATGCAAACTGGGGCCAGCTGGGCCAGCTCCTCCCTTCCCAGCCAGCAGCCAATTGCTCCTTTAATTGCGTTAGTTCACATACTCTGCTTCAGCCTTTTTATAGTTTCCCTGAGCGTGAGGGAGTATGAGCTCATGCTCTGAGCTTCTTTAATTGTGTGGTTACCTCCGAAATGAGCCCAAGAGCTCGCCTTGGCTCATGCACCAGCTGACAGGCACCAGGGCTGGGCGAGGAGGCTGTGGGCAGGGAGGAAGGCAGCGCGGCTGACCCGGGCTGACGGGGTGGGATCTCTCTGCGGCGCTGGCACTGGCGAGCAGGAGGGGAAGGCTGCGACACCGAGCCCAGAGGGACCCCAACCACCCCAGCCCTGGGGAGAGCCCGAGGGCAGCAGCTCCCTGCATGGGCCCTGGGGTGCCCTTATCAGCCGTGCTCAGCGGGGCCACCCTGCAGCTGCACCCAGCGTGGCTGGACCCCAGCAGCACCCCAAAGCACGTCCCTGTGCCCTCCTGCTGCCCTGAGACAGCAAGGCTTGGAGGTGCGAGTTGGGGTGCTGGGGACCAAGCCTGCCCAGCAAAAGGCAGAGCTCCCTCTGCCCCTGCCACCCCAGGGCCCCTGACCCATGAGCTCACCCTCCTCTCTTGCCCCTTTTCTCCATGTCCTGTTTGTCCCGAGCAGCTGCTGGGACAGGCTGCATGTGGCCTCCCGCCCTGCCCCTCCGCCGGCACAGAGCCACCATTCAGATCCCAACAGGCTCTGCCCGAGGTCACCATTCCTGCATTTTTATTTTTACTTTTCTGCAAAATCATCCCCCTCGGCTCTCTGCATCCCCTTTTGTCTCCCCCGAGGCTCCCAGACCTTGTGTCACGAGCTGGCGTGCTGGGAGAGGAGCCCGCCTGTCTGGGGCGATGGCAGCCCTCAGCGGGCAGAGAAGACGCGCTGGCTGCAGGGCTGGTCCCGGGGGGATGCCGGGGACGTCACCGGGATGTTGGGGTGGAGGGAGGGCGAGGGATCGTGAGCCTGGCATCGGGGCTGGTCTCTGGGGCTCCTGCTGGGAGCCTCGTTGCTGCTGGCTGTGTCCTTGCACCCGGGGTGCTCGACGTGCCCCGCTGCGCTCCCGCTCCACCAGCTCTTGGGTCCCCGCGTGTTTCCGTCTGCCTGTTTTTGATGCAGCAGTCGGGGCTGGCGTCAGCAGTGACCCCGCGCTGGCGGAGAGCCCTCCCGGCTCCAGGAACCGCCGGGGCCGGGTCACGCCGATCCTGCAGCTGGGAAAACAACAGCGGAGGAGCCCCTGCGTGTCCCCCGGCTGTATTGTTAGATGCTGCTGGATCAAAGGTTGTCAGGGACTTGCAGGTGGCGGTGGGCAGTGCCAGGCTGGCAGCGGCCCCGCACACATGGGAGCTCCCCTGCATCTCGATGCCGACAGTGTTTCGCTGAGCTCTGGGCGAAGTCCCCGCGGGTGCAGGGACAGGCATGGTGGCCCCAGGTCCTGGTCAGAGCCTGGTTCTGCTGGTGGCAGTGAACTTGTCCTGGCTCAAATGGATAGGGGGAGGTTTTATTTCTGGTTGTGGACTTCTCTTTTCCAACTTCCCTCCAAAACCAGCCAGGTTGCTCTCGCTTTCCTTGCCCCGGGTTTTCCCCTGCCTTTCCCCAGCAGTGTTTGCCAGCCCCCAGCTCTGCCCCGCAGCTGCTGTGGAAGCTGGAAGCGGCAGCAGCGATGCCTCCGGCAGCGGCACGTGCTGCCCAGGCCCTGGGGAATTCCCGGGGCGGCTGCGGCACCACAAGAAGCGGCTGCGGACGGATTTCCTTGCAGAAGGCAAACGTGCCTGGGTGTCCTCGCTCGCAGCCCAAGGAGCAGTAACGCCTGCCGCGCTGCCCTGCCTCTGCCAGAGGCCATCCCAGGGACAGCTGGGGTGCAGCCAGCCCTCGCTCGGGGCTCACCCGGGAAGGGGCTCGGGGTGGCAGCGAGCCCAGCAGTCCCAAGCTGGCGGCTGCTCTGGATGGAGCAGAGCCACAGCCCAACCGCCGAGGTCCCCCCGGGGAGCCCCAGCACGCGCTTGCAGGGTGGTTTGGGCCATTGCGTCACGCAGGAGGTGCGGAAAGAGCTGTGGGCAGGATCGGGAACTGCCCGCACATGCTGAGAAGCGTGTGGGGCCAGAGGAGGCCCTGACCTGGGGAGCGGGGGGTGGCCTGGGGACAGCAGCGGGGGGGGTTGTCCTGACCCACAGCCCTGGGCGGGGGACAGCCGGCAGCACGGGAGAGGCCCTCCTGCAGCTCCCTGCTCTCCTGGCCTCTTGCTCCCGTCTGACCATGGCCCTTTCCCACCTGTACAGCCCAGCAAACCCCAGCCCAGCTCCAGGCGCCCCAGGGGGACCAGTCCCTTCCCCAGCAGAGCAGCCCCCGTGCTCCCGGGACTGGAGGAGCCGCCTGTCAGGCAAAGCCTTTTCTGCTTGGAAGGGTCAGGTAGGGCAGAGCAGGATTTCACGCCCAACTCCCTGCTGTCATCCCTTGCTGAAAGCACTGCCGGGACCAGCTCGCGTATCGAGCGTTAGATGTGGTTTCAGCTGTTTCTTGCCAAACACGGGAGTGTTTGGTCAGGTTCATGCTGTTTGAAGGGGTTTTTCAGTTCAACTTGAAAATTTGCTCAAACCCAGAAGGAAGACTTTCTGGTTTTGCTTCCTCTCTCTGCTGCTCCCTGTGAAATTTCATTTCTCCTCATGGAAGAGGTTCTGGTTCCTCAATGCTCATCCTGAATGTCTTAAATACTGTTTCGAAACAGCTCTGCTGAGATGTGGTGTCATGGACAGGAGGGGTTGCCTAGCTTCTCCTCCACACTGAGCAAGACCCAGCAAAGTGCTGACAGCAGGCAGCAGCAAGGTCATGGCACTGTGGAGGCTGGAAGTTGGGGATTTGGCCTTTTAACATTCCCCTCTGCTTTTGGCTTCTTTCTGGGCAAAATGAGCTCCTGGCTCCCGGGGATGGATCCAGGGCTGGCACTGATGGGAGGATCGCAGTCTGTGGATGCTGTCTGGGTGTCCGTGGGACATGGCTCTTCCCCGGGCGGTTTGTCCCTCTCTGGCAGGCACCCTCAGCACCAGACCTGCCGGGTTGCTGTGTCCTTGTTTTCCTGCCCTGGAGCCGAGAGGGCTGCGGTGCCAATCCCCAAAGCCATAGCCACGCATGCAGGTCTGGTGGGTGTTTGTCTGTGTTTGCCACACAGCCTGGAAGTGCCCCCGGATGAAACTCGGGGAGAGGAAGGCAGAGTGGAGCCGAGAGCCCCGATCCGCCACGTGCCAGGTTCCTCCAGCACAGACACCCCGGGCCCCCCTCACCCCGGGCTCCGGGGGCCGCAGTGCCCTGAGCACAGCCATGCCGGCGGCCGTGCTTGAGCAATAGCTGCGTTTCACAAGCGCTTGGTTCAGGGATGTTGCCTCTGGCAACCAGGACTTCCCTGGATCCTGCATGAGATCTGCCTGCATCAGCTCCTGCGGGTTTCCTGTGCCCGGTCCTGCGGCTTCCCCAGTGGGAAATGAAAGTAAATCATTTCTTCTTCCCTCACCTCCATCCTGCAGCCAGCCCCGCTCTCCCTGCTGGGGTGCCCCCCGCTCACCCCTGCCTGCCTGCACCCAGCTCCCGCACCCACCTCAGCCATGGTGAGCCCAAGGCTGTGACGTGTCAGGGCCCCAGAAGTTTTGTCTTTGAGGCTTGTTCCCAGTGCGCTGGTTGTGTCCCCCCTGCACAGCTGCTCTGTGATGGAGCCAGGGGCTGGAAGCATGGGGTACCCCACTAATTTAGTTGCCCCCTGAACCCTGCTGCAGCCACCCTGCCTGGGCAGGAGCCCCTTCGCCCACGATGCTGGGTGTGGGGGTGCTCCAGGGTCTGCTTGCATGGGGTGAGAAAGCATAATGTGCTTTCTTTAGCCCTTGCTGTGACCCAAGGCTGCTCTGCTTACAACCTGTCTGTGTCGCAATAGTGTCAGCTAACACCCAGGAGCGCGGCGCTGACCCGAGCCCCGTGGGATGGGGTGGGGGGCAGCGGGGCTGGCAGAGGGCTCGGGGGCAGCTGGGCTGTTCCCAGATTTTGCTGGGCACAGGGAAAGCATGCCGGGAGAACACGCAGCAGGAACACGCAGGGAGAACACGCAGGGAGGGCATGCAGGGGAGCATGCAGTGAGAACACGTGGGGAGAGCAGAGCCCCAGCGAAGGCAGCCGGCGGAGCCCAGCCCGTGCCCGCAGCAGCTCTGCTTTGCTCAGGCCCCGCTGCTGCCTCGAGCCAGGACCGTTCGCACCCGATGGGGCGCTGGAAACCGAGCTCTTGGCTCCAGGCTGGGGCTGCTCGCCCTTGCCCGGCTGCGAGGAGAGGCCCTGGCTGTGCCGCCAGGTGCCAGTGCGCCGTGCCATGCCACTGTGACAGTGCCACTGGTGCAGGGGAGCAGGGTGCTGGCCCAGCAGGAAGCTTTGGGGCTCCTGGGGACGCGCTGCAAGGGCTGTGGCAGTGGCTCCACACACCTCCCTCACCCACGGTTCCTGTTTTGGCACAGATATAAAGGCGGTGTGGGCCGGGAGAGCCCGGCAGCAGCACGGCACTGTGGAGCCGCCAGGATGGGAGCGCAGAGCCTGGCTGTGGCTTGGGGGGTTCTGGCTTTGTGCCTGGCCCTGGCTGGGGCCACCAACCCCGGCTTTGTGGTGAGGATCACCCAGGCGGGCTTGGACTATGGTGGGTTCGGCTTCTGATTTCTCTCCTTGCAGATGTGCTGGTGGCTGAGGCGCGGAGCCGGGCGCCCGCTGGGAGAGCGCAGGGTCCTGGGGCAGGGTGGGGGGATCCTTGGCCACGGGTGCTGAATGCACTGTCTCCTGGGGCTTCCCACTGATGCACCCATCTGCCCCCCCTGCCATGGAGCCCCTGCAGAAGGTCAGGGCCCTGCGGGGGTCTCGGGGGGCTGCACCCAGGCGGTGTCGGGGGAGGTGCAGGGCTGGCAGGGCAGGGGGTCCCGTTCTCATGGCACGTGTGCGGGCAGCCGAGCCGGGAGCCCCAGAGCTGTGAACTGGGGGGGGAGAGGAGGTGGGGAGCTGCAGGGGGGGTGGTGACGGAGATGGATGGGCCCCGTGCTGGTTTTATTGAGGCAGGCAGAGCCCCGGCTCCAGCGGAGCGCTGTTATGGATTGAAATACACTCGGTGAGAAACAGCTCATTTACCCGGCAGCTCTGCCAGCCGTGCGGGAGAGGAGGACGTGACTCCCCTTCCCAGACGGGTGCAGGAATGCGGCACCCGCTCACGCCGCGCTGCTCCCTGGGCCGTGGGCTCCATCCGGCGTTGCCCGACGGTGCTGGGCATGGAGCAGCGCAGTGCCCGGGACCCCCCCCGCACACCTCGCACCGTGCCCAGCCCCGAGAGCCAGGGCTGGGACCCCTCCCCACGTTCTGTGCCTGGCCACCACCTCCCCTGGGGCAGACGTCAGGCAGCCTGGCTGTCAGGCAGCCTTGCCCGTGTGCCTGCAGGGCAGATTAGCTTTAAAGATAGCTGGGGAGGTGGAAAGCAGCCAGGGCATCGCCTGAATGTTTCCTTTAACCCTTCCGCTGTGTGCCCGGTCCCGCTCCCAGCTCCCGCGGGAGGTGTGCGGCGGTGACGCTCTCCCTCTGCCCCTGCAGCCCATCAGCAGGGGATCGTGGTCCTGGAGAAGGAGCTGGCCCAGCTGAAGCTGCCGGACATCTCGGGTGACTTTCGCATCCGGCACGTGGGGAAGGTGAACTATGAGCTCTCCAGGTGAGCCCTGCCAGCACCCCAGAGCAGCTCACCCCAACCCACATGAGGGGCAGGAGGGGTGGGGGACGGACAGGGAGCCCCTGGAGCAGTGAGGACCGTCCTGGCCCCTCCACAGCTCCCTGAGATGTTGGCCCTGTCCTCAGTGCAGGCAGAGACGCTCCTGCTTCGCCCCCCTGCTCAAAGGGGAAGAAGGGAACAGGGGTGTTGGCACTCGGGGTGCGGGCGGATTTTGCGCAATCGAAGCCCAGGTGGTGGAGGTGGCCTTGCAGAGATCCCAGCTCCTCGCTGCCCTGTTGTGCCTCTCTGCTCCCACCGTGCAGGTTTTCGTGGGGTTTTGAGCTGCTGGCTGGGTGGCTGCAGGGACCCTGTTTTGCTCTGCACATCTCTGCCAGGCATCGCTTTGTTGTGGCAGGATGGGAGCTGGGGATGCTGCCAGCGCGGTGGCCCAGCCGTGTGCCTAGGAGCAAGGCACCCCTGTAATGTGACTTTTCTCTTATTTATTGATTTTTAGATTGGACCTTCGCAGTTTCCACTTGCCGTACTCACGAATCTCCCTGGTCCCCAACGTGGGCCTGCAGGTCTCCATCTCCAACGCCTTCGCCGAGGTGGATGGGAACTGGCGGGTGAAGCTCTACTTCATGTGTGTGCCCAGCTCCCCTCCTCCTGCTCGGGCACTTTGCTCTGCGTCTCCCTCTCTGGGTCTGGGCAGGTTTTTTCTCCTCTCCCTCGTGTCTGGGCAGCTGTTGCTTTGTTCTCTGCAGATGCCCTGACTTGTCTTTCCCGCAGCCAGGCTGCAGCCGCTGTATCCCGATGCACATTTGGGAGCCCCTCGCCCCGGGGGAGCCCACCCAGGTCTCCCTCCATGCTGGGAGCCCTTGGAGCTGGCCAGGCAGTGGTTGGGGAAACAATGTGAAAGCCATCTCCCCTCTTGTGGCACCTGGTCCCTCCTACTTGCTTGCACTGGGGGGCACTTTCCTGAGCACCCGCAGGGACAGACCTGAGCTGGGAGCGGGGGTGGGCAGAGGTCGCTGCCACTCGTGCAGCCACCGAGATGGATGAAACAGGGTGGGAGGCAAGAGCAAGGTGGAGGATGGAGGAGCTGTGCATCAGCTCTCCTGCCTCTCCTCCATCTCCCCTACTTGCTCTTGAGCCTCTCTAGTTAAAGGTTACCTCTCCTAGTTTATGTTCCAGGGAAATTTGGCTTCCTTGAGTTTAGAAACTTTCCTGGTCTCCTCTGGGCGCTCAATACAGAGAGAGCCTGAGCTAGACAGATCCATCCCAAAGCTCATTTGGGGTCCCTTCACCAGGACTCGCCATTGAAAAACGTCCCCTTCTCACCTCCTCTCCCTGCAGCCGGGACCACGGCTCGTTTGACCTGCAGGTGGAGAATGTCTATATCAAAATCAACCTGCAGCTGGGCAGAGACACCTCTGGGAAACCCACCATCGACACCTCTGCCTGCAGCACCCACATCTCCAAAGTCCGGGTACACTTTTCGGGCAAGTTTGGGTACGTAACTTCACTCTGAGGCCCAAAAGCGCTGCGTGTTAGCCTGTCTGCCATGGGACCGTGGCCTCCAGGCCCTGGTGCAGGGTGCAAGATGTTGGTGTATCTGCAGTCCCTTGTGCGCTGCCTGCGCTGGCACAGCACGAGTCAGCTGGCTCTGGACCCTTGTGATGTAATTCCCATCCAGATGTGCAACTGAATGAGCTTAAATCTGGCCTGAATCCATCCTGCTGTGGCTGCACATTTAAGGGGGGATTTAAGGCAGTCACTAGACTTGTGTGCATGTGGTTTACAAGCAGGTCGGTTTGCAAATGTAAACCCTGAGGCAAAGCCAGGTGCCAAATTGGTACGGGAATGACCTTCCCCAGTGTCCCTCATCTCTAGTGTCTCCTTTTCCTGGGCAAATACTTCAGCAGCAGCCTCTGAGCTAGAAAAGGCAGCCTCTCCTCTGTTTTTCTCTGCAGATGGCTTTACAACCTCTTCCATAACGCTATTGAGCCCGTATTCCGGAAGATCTTGGAGAGCAAGGTACGTGAGCAAAGGAGGGCAGAGCTCTGGGGTTTTCTGGGGGTTTTCTTGAGCTCTGGGGTTTTCTTTAGCCCTCGCTTGTAGCCGATGTGCTAGAAGGATCAGGGCACACGGAGGGGTTTAACTGAGCCAGAGCGCATGGACGTGTTGCTGATTTGGTGAAAACCAGGTGCATGGGCATCACTACCTGCAGCCTCTGTAGCATTGTGTGGCTCAGGCTGAATTTGAAACCTGCAGCCTTTGCCAAAGTCCAGCGTAATTGGTTCCTAATTAACAAAGACTTTTCCTTCCATGTGGTCAATTAATTAGATCTTATGCCTTGGCCAAACTCGCTGTAACAGAGCAAATGTGATCAGAACTGTCCTTTAAGTGGCTGCACTCCTGCACGCTTTGGAGAGCACTGGGGGAGAAAATCTCATTTCTGGTTTTCAGACACTTGCTGTCTGGTTTTAGCGGGGTGGATCAGGGAGGCACCAGTACCGGCCGCCCAGTACAAAAGCCAACATGCAGGAGACCTGCAACGAGACATGGAAACAAGCTGTTAGCAATAATTACTACAAGGCTAACTGGCACGAGTTACAGCCTCCCTGGATGTGAACCCTGCTCGGGAAGGAGGCAGTTGGAGAACAGGCAAATCCCGGTCCCGCAGCAGGTCCCATCCTGCCCGGGCACTATTCCTGGTGCCAGGCTGTGGCTTTCCCGAGGCCCCCGGGAGCTGCGGCAGCAGATGGGCTGGCAGCAGGAGTGAAGCTGGGGCTCCTGTTGCTTTGCCTCCTGGAAGGAGAGCAGCGCTGGGACTCCAAGGGGACCTCTGCTGCCCTCAATGCCCCCTCCGAGCCCGCTCTGACCCATTTTTCAGCATCTTTCTCCATGCGTGAGGCAGGGCGAGGGTCGAGGGGCAGGAGGGTGTACTGCACCGGGACCCCGGGGCACAACCCGGTCCCGACCCAGCCCCGGCAGCCCGTGTTTGCCTCCTGCTCTCTCTGCACACGCTTGGGCAGTCCTCGTGCCCCCAGTGCCAGGGGCACCCGGTCACTGGGATCAGGGCTGCGTTTGCCTGTCCACAGCCCCGTCCTCCCAGTCAGGGACGGGGCATTTCCAGCACAGACAGATGAATATTGGCTGGGCACAGGGAAGAGCAGCAACCCTCTGTGGATAAGGCCATGCCCAGGGCTCTGTCCCTCCTCCTCCTCCCCGGCGCGGCCCAGCCAGCGGCTGCGTTGCTGTCAGCGTGGTCGCGGCTCTCCGGAGCTCTGTGCCCTGCTGCGGGCTGCGTGCCCGCTCAGCCAGACGGCCTGATCCTGCCTGGTGGTTTCCGTGCCGTTATGGGCAAAGCACTGGAGGAGAGCTCTGCGGCTTCGCTGAGCCGGCTGCAGGACCGTGCCCTGCAGTACGTTTCCTGGCTAGTGTTACGCCTGCAATTAAATCCCCCAGTAACGTCGAGGCTTTGCCTGTGGATGACAGCGGCAGACGGATTTTCTATTCTGTCCTGGCAGCAGGGAGCTGCAGGAACTCAGGATAGCTCTGCCTTGTCTGTGCAGTTCATGCTCCTGCCCCTGCGGGGTGCATTAACTCTTTCATTTGCTCTGCTTCAGCCAAGTCTTGGCTGCTCAGCACCATTCATTCCAGCACGGGCTGTAGGAATAGTCTGAGGGCACATGTGAGATTCCTTCTAAGGGCCTTGATGCAGCTGAACTACACGTGGGAGCCTTGCTGCGAGCAGGTGTTTGCAGGTATAAACCTCGCTTGCGTCTTGCACGCGTAACTGATGTGCTGTCTGATGAGTCGAGACAAACGTCACTGTGCTCTTTTATTTAAACAGGCTTTTGCAAAGGGTAAAACTGGCACTGGGCAGCAAAGCCGGGTGTGCGGCGGCGGCTTTGACCCGGGGGGTGTGAACAGGCCCCCTTGGCAGAGCTGCCTTTGCTCAGCTTCGCTGCCGTTCTTGCCCGCAGGTCTGTGAGAGCGTGGTCACGTCTGTGCACAGCGAGCTCCAGCCTTACCTCCGGACCCTGCCAGGTACCGGCCGGGGGCTGCGCGGGGTTTTAGGAGCCGTTCTTCCTCACATTTCCCAGCTGCGAGGACAATGTTGTACCTGGTGCCTGCTCCCCCTTTCCCTGTATTTCTGCGCCCACTTTGGGAGCTGGGGAACACAGCGTCAGCAGAACCGTGTCACTGTGCACCCTGTCCAGCCCAGAGACGGCTCATCGGCACGCAGCCTCCGCGGGCCGGGCCCCGGCGCTGGTGGGGGCATGGGCTGCCTTAGCCAGGGCACCCAGACCCTTCCTTGGGTCCAGGAGTCAGTCTGCATGCCTGAGAAACACTCAGGAGGGAAACGGGAGGTTTTTTGCTTCTCAACAGAAGCTGGTACTGAGCCCAGGGCACGGCACTGCCTGGATGTCGGCAATCTGCTCCCGGCTTTCCCGTGCCACCTCCCTCTCGCTCATCTGCCTCCTGTTTTACAGTCACAGCCAGGATAGATGCCAAGGCTGGGATCGATTACTCCTTGGTGGCACCCCCGACTACTACCGCCCAGTCCCTGGACGCAAACCTGAAGGTGAGAGACTGCCCTGGGAAACCTTGATTTGCCTGACGCCGTCGGCACAGGCGGGTGAGGAACCAGGTTTTGGTCCCTCCTGCGAACGCTGTTTGCCAGCCCGTGTCAGCGGGGGAGTCCCACCACCCTCTGCTCCCCTGCTTCCCCTCTCTCCCTCCTCCCAGGGCGAATTCTTCTCCCTGCTCCACCGCTCCGCCGTCCCCTTCCCTCCGCTGGCGCTGGCCTTGCCCCGAGATCACGACCGCATGGTTTACTTCGGGGCCTCCAGCTACTTCTTCAACACAGCCAGCCTCGCCTACCACGCAGCCGGGGCACTGGTCTTCGAAATCACGGACTCCATGGTGAGCAGCGCAGCGGGACGGGGCTGCCCCCCACACCTCTGGGCAGCGGGGTGCATTTGCAGAGGATGTCAGGTCACAACCTGTGCCCTTGGAGGACTCTCCCCGCGATGCCCGGAGGCTGAGCGCTGGGGGCCGTGGGGCTGTTGGGCACGGCAGAGCGTGGGGCCGGGCGGGCTGAGCTCGCCGTGGGCTCGGCCATGCCGCATCGCCCCAGCGTGACTGTTCTCCCCCCGCAGATCCCCCAGGGCATCGGCTTCCACTTGAACACCTCCACCTTCTCGGCCTTCATTCCCCAGGCGAGTGGCCCAGCCCTGCCTCCCTGGAGCTGCCGCCGCGCCCAGGCTTCGCTCCGTGCAAGGTGCAGTCCCCCAGGAAGGGGGGTTGTGCTGCTGTCCCTACCCTCTCCCTGCTCCTCTGCAGCTGGAGGAGATGTACCCGGACATGCTGATGAAGCTCAGGCTGACCACGCACTCTGCCCCGTTCCTGGACATCGGACCAGGGGGGCTCTCACTCAAGCCTGTCGTGGATGTCCAGGCTTACGCCATCCTTCCCAGCTCCAGCCTGGCTCCACTCTTCCTCCTCAGCCTGGTGAGTTCGGGCACAGCCTGCGGCAGTGACGGTGGCCCTGGCTGGGCAGCTCTGGCTGCAGCCACAGCTCAAGCTGACGCGCTGCGTTAGTGAGCTCCCCCCCGCATCCCAGCGGGGCAAAGATGGGATCTGGAGCTGTGCACCATCCTGCTGCTGCGTTCCACAGTGCTGAGCCATCGCCGCCGAGCTCCTGCCAGGGAGGTGCCGGACGCTGGCTGAAACCAGCCCAGTCCTGGTGTAGTGGGGTGTCCCCAACAGAAAAATCCCCGAGCTGGCAAATGCCATGTTTAATGCTGCGTGCAGACATGCTGCGGTCCCGCCGCCCTTCGGCCGGTCGGAGCCGTTCTCCCGGGTGTCTGGTGTGGGGTGAGGTGGGGTGAGCACTGCCGGAGCTCTGCGCTCTCTCCCCAGACAGGCAACGTGTCCGCCGTCATCGACGTGAAATCCGGCCACATCGTTGGGAGCCTGAAGGTGGGCAGGTACGGAGGGGGAGCGGCGCAGGGCTTCGCTCGCCCCGCGCCCCGAGCGCAGCGGGTGCCTGGGGGTGCTTCTGTTCGGGGCTCCCGTGACAGGGGTGAGGTGGGAAGGTCCCGGGGACATGGACCTGCTGCCGAGGGGATGAGCTGGGGCTGGAGGGAGAGGGATCTGCACAGCCATCAATGGGTGGCACCGGGGTGGGAACCGCTCCCTCCACTGGGACAGCCTCCACAGCACCGCTTGTCTCTGCGCAGGATGAAGCTCTCCCTGAAGCATTCGGATGTCGGCACTTTCCAGGTAAGCTATCCTTGACCGTGACCAGAGCCCGCAGCATGGAGGAGAGGGCTCATTCCCCCCTGCCCCTCAACATGGGACCTGGGGGTGCACCCAGGACCCCACAATGACCCTATAGATGCCTCCTGCCTCAGCCTGCAAGATTGGGAGAGGATGCAGAGCCAGATGCTGTTGCTTTGCTCACCCCTACACTTCCTACCCCACCAGCATGGCCAGACAAAGCCACTGGTCTCTGGTGAAGTGGGTGCCCATCCCAGCTCCCCATCTCTTTTTCTTTCCCTAATTATCCTCCAGTGCCTGGTCACTTGCTCTTTCACAGGCTAAAGCTCTTTTCCTTCCCCCTCTCTCCACTCCCCAGGTGCGAATGCTGCAGTCCATGATGAACGTCTTTGCTTCCAATATACTGCTCCCACGTCTTAATGGTGAGAACCTGCTGGGGGGAATGGGGGTGCTGGTGTAGTCACCAGCCAGGTCGCTGCATCCGAGCAGGCCCAGCTCACTAATTAATTCCCTGTTGCCAAGCCTGATCGGTGGGTAGAGCCTGCAGCAAGTGCAGGAGACGGCAGTAAAAGCGCCCGGCGGAGGCAGGCAGTGGCGTGCGGGAGCCTCTCGGCACTGTGACATGCATCCAGCAGTGAACACAATGGAAAAAATGAGCACGACGCACATCCTAATGCTTTCCAGACCCTCTCCCCCGCTCGCTGCTTCTCATGACTCCCCAGCAATCCGAGCCAGAGTGGGGCTGGCGGTTGCCGAGGGCCTGGGGGGTGGCACGGCAAAACTTGCAGCCCCCAGCCCTTCTGTGGAGCTTGGGAGGAATTTCCTCTGCCTACCCCGGGAGCTGTGGGGGCGAAGAAAGGGCCGGGGGGAGGAGGTGGCTGCCTGCTTTGCACGGCCCGTGCTCCCTCTTGCTCCCATCTCAATGAGGCCACATGTGTTGTCGTTTCCAGACAGGTTAGCTGAGGGTTTCCCTCTGCCGCTGCCGGACAGAATACAGCTCTCCAATATCCTCGTGAGGTTTCACCCGGTGAGTGAAGGGGAGCAGCCAGCCCTGGCTGGAGCCCGCCGTGCCCCCCGAGCCCCCCGCCTGCCCTCACGGCATGCAGAGCCTGTTCCCCGAGCCGTGCCGGGGGGCGGCGGGCGGGAGGGTGGGCTCAGCCGGGGTCCCAGCAGCACGGCTGCGAACCAGAGCCCCGCTTCTCCCGTCTGCACGGGGCGGGGGGGAGCTGGGCTCTGCGCCCCTGGGGCAGCACCGCGTCGTTCTCCAGTTCTTAAACCCGGGCCCTGAATTCCCCACGGCGCTTTTGATGGCGCCCGCGGCTCTGCAGCAGCGTGAGCCTCCCCCGGCCAGGACGCTGCGTACGAGCGTGGGGCCGTGGCCGCCGGACACGTCTACCCACGGCGGGACAGGCAGCGCCTGCCAGGCTGGGTGGAAGGAGCCCGGCCAAGCCCTGGGGAGCCAAGAAAGCCCCTGTTGTGGGAGGCCCTGGGGAAGCGCCGGAGGGGTGCCATGATGGGGATGCCGAATAGTTATTGCGAGACGTGGCTGGGAAATGTCTTTGGAGCCCTTACGGGGCTCGGAGGAGGCCCAGGGGCTGGCAGGACCACCCGTGCCCACCCATCCTCCCTCCCGGAGACAGGGCGGGTGCTGGCGTGCACGGCCACCTGCAACAGAAAGCGGCTGCCAGGGCCTGTCGCAGCCCCCGCGCTTTCTCTCTTTTCACCCAGAATTTCCTGCTGCTTGGAGCAGACGTCCACTATCAGCCCCGAGGGTGGAGATGAGGGCGACGAGAAGGGCCCTCGAGCACCGAAAACGTCCCCTTCGCCCCTTCCCTCGCCCCCGCTGCCGGAGCTGAGGAGCACCCACCGCGGCCGGGGGCAGAAGCGCCGGCGGGGGCTGAACCCCGCGTCCCCCCAACCCTCCCCTGGCCCCCTCCCCTCCCGCTTCCCGCTGTGCCGGGGGCGGTTGGCGACAATAAAGGCGGCGGGCGCTGGGGTCACTGTCACTGTCACTGTCCGAGCCTGCACGGCCCGCGGGGGGGGGGGGGTGGGCCGCGGGGTGCCTCACCCCGGGAACGCCCGTTTCGGTGATGTTTATGGCCGCGGAGCCCCGCGGACACACCGCGGCGGGGGGGCCGGTCCCGCTGCCCGGCGGAACCGCGGCGGGGCGGAACGCGGGGCCGAGGGGCCGCGGCGGCGGCGGGGCCGGCGCTGGCGGCGCACGGCGGGGCCGCCCCTTCTCCCCGCCCCGCCCCGCCCCGCCCCGCCATGCTGCGCTGGGGGCCGGCGCGGAGGGCGGCCGGGCTCCTCCGCCCGCCCGCCGCCGCCCCCCGCCCCGCCGCCCCCCCCCGAGCGCGATTCCTGAGGGGAACCGCGGCGGGGGAGCCGCGGCCGGCGCCGGGCTCGGCCCCCGGGACGGGGAGAGGTCCGTGGTGCCGCCGGCCCGGGGGGGGGTGGCCGTGCCCCGCCGCCGCAGCGGAGCTGTTGGGTGCTGTGGGGGGTCCCGGGGCGGGCGTTGGGTGCTGGAAGCAGCTCGCGGGGGTGTGGGGGTGTGTGTGTGTGGGTGTGTGTGTGTGTGGGGGGGGGTGTGTGGGGGGGTGTGTGTGTGTGGGGGGGTGTGTGTGTGTGGGGGTGTGTGTGGGTGTGTGGGTATGTGTGTGTGGGTGTGTGTGTGTGTGGGGGTGTGTGTGTGTGTGGGGGGGGTGTGTGTGTGGGGGGGGGGGGGTGTGGGGGTGTGTGTGGGGGTGTGTGTGTGGGGGTGTGTGTGTGGGTGTGTGGGGGTGTGTGTGGGGGTGTGTGTGGGGGTGTGTGTGGGGGAGTGTGTGTGTGGGGGTGTGTGGGGGTGTGGGGGGGTGTGTGTGGGGGTGTGGGTGTGGGGGTGTGGGTGTGGGGGTGTGGGTGTGTGGGTGGGGGTGTGTGTGGGGGTGTGGGGGGGTGTGTGTGGGTGGGTGGGTGGGTGTATGGGTGTGGGTGGGTGGGTGGGTGTGTGTGTGTGGGGGTGTGTGTGTGTGTGTGTGTGTCCCGCCACGCAGAGGGGCTGGGGGGCTGCCCTGGCACCTGCAGCCCCTGTCCCGCCGGCCCGGGCCCTGCAGAGCCCCCCGTGCCCCGGGGAGGGGGTGACGCGGCACCGGGCGTTACAGCTGGGTGACAGCGGGGCTCCTGCTGCGCTGCAGGCTGCGGCAGGCCCGTCGGGCTGGAGCGGCGTGCTCCGAGGCGCTCGCCTGTCCCAGAGTCCGCCTTTATTTTTCGGTTTACCGAGGCACTCGGCTGTCCCAGAGTCCGCCTTTATTTATCTTTGCTTTCTCCCTCTGCACGGGCTGCCCGTGCAAGCAGCTTTGGTGCTGCGCGCCCGGCTGGTGCTGGGCCTGAGGGCTCCCGCCTGCAGAGCCGGGCACAGAAGCAGGCGGGAGGTGGGAGCCGAGGCAGGCTTCTGCCTCACCCCCCCTTTGTTGCAGTGTACCTGGAGACGTACGGCTGCCAGATGAATGTCAACGACGCGGAGATCGCCTGGGCCATCCTGCAGAAGAACGGCTACGCGAGGACCAAGGAGCTGGATGAGGTGAGGCCCTGTGGCCGCCTGCGAGGGCAGCGCAGCGCTGCTGTGCCTCTGCGTCCCAGCTTTGGTCTGGAGCACAGTCCCGCAGGGTGCTGCGGGTTTTGCAGTCCAGGTTCTGTGGAGTAAAGGAAACCGCTTAAGAAGCGTGCTAGGAAGCTGTGGGTTGTCTTTTTTTTCGTTAAACTGCTGGGTTCTCTCTCAGCTGGAGGGGGATTGAACACAGCGGGATGCTCCTGACTCATCTCTGAGTTTACTTCTACCATTTAGTGGAAGACTCTGCTTGTCTCCTGTTAGTTTCTTGCACCTTTGTTTGCTGAAACCCACGGCCTACTTGGGCAGAACTTTTTCACTGAGTTAAGTGAGTTTTATAGTCTGCCTCTTCAGTTACCCGTGCAGGGCATGACTACTTACAAATTCTTCCTTTTTTGTTGTTTTCAATTTAGGCAGATGTGGTTCTCCTTGTCACCTGTTCTGTGAGGTAAGGAAACATCACTGCTGGTTTTGGACAGTTTTTAAGGAATTATCATTTGAAAACCAAGGCAATAAGCGTGTTGTGCGAGGAAAAGAGCATGCAGATGTGAAACTGGCTGTTTAGGTGAGGGCAGAGCTAGCTGGTGCTACGATGTTTAACGTTAATTGTGCCATGAATTGCTTTTCTACAGAGTGAGAAGTTCTTTGGTAGTGTAAGCTCTGTGTATATGCCATGGCAATTAAAGACCTGATTGGTGCAGGTCTTTAATGATTTTTATTTTTATTTAAATATTCTGTCCTCTCTTGAAGTGACTGTCTCTTTAGTACAGGGTATGTACTTCAGAAATTTGGGAAATACATTTAGGGGCAATTTGGGATATAAATAGGTAGGGAATTTTGCTTGTTTTTTCTAAATGCGGAAGATATTGAATGCTCATTGTCACTTGCAAGGTAGCTCATGTTGGCTGGCTAAGGCAGACCTTTTCGCAGCAAGAGCTTAGTCCCCGAGTTGTTTCTGCATGCAGATGCTCCCGAGCGAGCGAAACGGTAGTAGATAAGACAAAAGTCAGGACATAATCCACACACCACAAACGACACCCTCGTGTGCCATCAGACCCATCAGGTGGATGATTCCCCCGTCTTTGGTTGAATTCTCCTCTCAGGGCGCTTGGGCCGCTTCGGGTTGGGGGGCTGCTAAAGCACAACCCTCGGAATAACCACGGTTCTCCCGGCTTCCCAGGGAGAAGGCGGAGCAGGCCATCTGGAATCGCCTGCGGCACCTCAAGGCGCTGAAGGCCCGGCGGCAGCAGGCTCGCTTGCCCCTCCGCATCGGGATCCTCGGTACCCGGCGGGACCATCGTGCTGCGCTTCCTCCTCCCCGCTGGCGACACGAAGCCTTTTCTGGGGGGTGAAAGGAGCTGGGGGGGGTGCGGAGGTGTAGCGGGGGGTGGGCACGTGCTCACAAGGACTCTTCTCCTTCGGCGGCAGGATGCATGGCTGAGAGGCTTAAGGAGGAGATTCTGCACAGGGAGAAGCTAGTCGATGTTGTGGCAGGCCCTGATGCGTATCGCGACCTTCCCCGGCTGCTGGCCGTGGCAGAGTCTGGCCAGCAAGCTGCTAATGTCCTGCTGTCGCTAGATGAGACTTACGCAGACATTCTGCCTGTCCAGACAAGCGCAGGTGGCACGACAGCCTTTGTGTAAGTACCGTTTTTTCCTGTGCATGTCTCTGTGGTTCTGGTTTGGAAATACTGCTGTGCGGAGCAGACATGTCGGTGACAGCAGCTACCCAAGGGATGCAATGCCTGGTTGCACTTGCTCCCTGTGGCCCGGAGGCACGAGTCTACCAGACTGAGTGTTTGCTGCTGCTTCGCTGTCTGACAGAGCCCTGGAGAGACTGCCCCGTGCTCTGGCTGTCCGCGGGCTTCTCTTGCTCTCCTTTGGGAACGTTGATTGTCTAAGCCTGATGCTGCACCGAGTGATTTCTGTCCCACAGACATCTGTGCCTCTCTAGAGTCTGTGCCTCCCTCATCCCCTGCCTTCTGCTATGTCCTGCCCCAGGTTCTTCTATTTAATTCTTCTAATCCTCCATGCATTGTAACTTTTGTTGGTTTTGTTTCCATTTGTTTAGTTTTGATAATAAGATGCCCAAACACGAAATCAGCCTCTCCTTGGTGTGGCCATAGAGTACAGAAGGGCAGCATCATCCCCTGTAGGAACAGGGTGCAGAAGGATCTTTTATCACTGCCAGATCACAGTGCAAGGCTGTGCCTCGTTACTTGCTTTCCAGATTTCTTGGAAATGTGCATGAAAAACTAGGAGGTGTTAGCCAGGGGCAAGCAGAAGCCAGCCGTGGCTGGCACGGTGTGTAAGGGGAAGCTGCAGAGCTGTGCTCAGAGCTGGTGTGTGCTGCAGGCCAGGGTTGCTGGCTGAAGGCAGCAGTGCTGGGCCAGGCCAAAGCAGGGTGGGATCGACACGGACGATTCGATCAGTGCATGAGCTGTGCTTTCCCTCTCGGCAGATCCATCATGCGGGGCTGCGACAACATGTGCAGCTACTGCATCGTGCCCTTCACCCGCGGCCGTGAGAGGAGCCGCCCCATCGCGTCCATCCTGCAGGAAGTGAGGCTGCTCTCGGACCAGGTGGGGCAGAGCCTCCTTCCCACCCGTCCCAGTCCGCGGGTGGAAGGATGGTTCCCAGCAAAAGTGTTTTCAGTGACGCTTTTGGCGACGTTGCCTTTATCTGTGGAGGCGAGTTTAGCGTGGGGTTCCACCAGTGGCTTTTTGATTCCCCTTGTAAAACTCTGAGACAGGCAGGGAAGGGAGGGCTTCCCTTGCAGGCTCCTCCTTGAAGTAAAAGTAGATCCGTGGCTTCCCTTGCAGCTTAGCCATCCGGACTGGGTTATGGTCTTTGCTCTCTGGTTATCTTTGCAGGGGGTGAAAGAAGTGACCCTTTTGGGTCAGAACGTCAACAGCTTTCGAGACATGTCTGAGGTGCAGTTTCAGTCAGCTGCTGCCCCAGTCCTCAGTCGTGGCTTTAGCACAGTCTACAAAGCTAAACCGGGAGGCTTGCGCTTTGCACATCTTCTAGACCAGGTTTCTAGAATTGATCCCGAAATGAGGATCCGTTTCACCTCTCCACACCCCAAGGATTTTCCTGATGAGGCAAGTGTGAAAGAAAACGCCTGGACCTCTGCTTGCAGACAGCTCCGGACTGCTAGCTGTGGGCTGTGCTTCCTTCCCAAAGGGAACGCGGAGTCGCAGAACGGGAACAGCAGCTCCTGGGAGGGGGAATGTTTGTGCTAAAGCTGGCAGGGTTGCGGTTTGCTGGCTTTTACCTGGGGAAGGCGCTTCCCCTTGGCATCCTGGTAGAGTTGTGCTGCCGGTGACACTGTCTCCTGATTGCCCGTCGCAGGTGCTGCAGCTTATCCGGGAGCGACACAACATCTGCAAACAGCTGCACCTCCCGGCCCAGAGCGGAAGCACGCGGGTCCTGGAGGCCATGCGGCGCGGGTGGGCGATCACCGTGGGCAGACCCGTGCCCTGCCCTCTGATTTAGGGTGCTGGTTCCTCCCCACTGACGTCAGGGTTTTCTGATTAGCGAATCCGTGTGTTGCTAATTGCAGGTACACAAGAGAAGCATATTTAGAGCTCGTACACCATGTGCGTGAGTCCATTCCAGGTAGGGGCTCCCTTTAGCTCGGTCTGAGCTCAGCACGGCTGTATCCTTCTGTCCTTTCTTGAGTGAAGTGCTCCTCTCTTCCTTGAGGGAAGTGTAAAGCTGCGTCTCTGTTACAGGAGTGAGCTTAAGTAGCGACTTCATTGCCGGCTTCTGTGGAGAGACAGAGGAAGATCACCAGCAGACCGTGTCCTTGCTGCGGGAGGTCCGGTACAACATCGGCTTCCTGTTTGCCTACAGCATGAGACAGGTGAGTGCAGGACCTGGTGGAGAAGACTGTTATCTCTGGGCAGCTAGACTAACTCCCGAGTGCTGTTTCTCACAATAAGACACTAAAAAAAAAAAAAAAGTAAATATTGAAAATAATACCTAAAGACTTGTTATCTTGCTAGGTATTTTGCTGGCATGCAACCCCTCGAGGGTACGTGTTGCTGCCTTCATGGCAGAAGGGCTTCCAGCTCCCTTGCGTGTGTCAGGGTTGGTTACTGACTGGGTGCCCTGGTTCTGCAGGTGCTCCGCAGTGGTTGCGATGAAGCAGCCATGTCTGCAGAGACCTGGCTGCAGGTACGTTTTTCTGTGCTGATGAGAAATAGATGAGAGACTCTGTCAATCGAGTCTAGGGAGAACTGGTGAATTTTCACAAGGTATTTCCCATGGGAAGAGTGAGTAGTTGACAAGTCTCCTTTAGAATGCTTCCCGTAGTGTAAGGTGCTGCCAGGGAGACTGGGAAACATAAGGAAGCAAGGAATATGGATCACCTCTTAGCACGCGGGACTAGAAGTAGCAGAATTCATTGCTGGTCCACGCGGACAGGCAGGCAACAGATGCATCTCACATGGGAGATGCAGAACTTCTGCTTCACACAGCCACTGATACTCAGCGCCCTACATCAAACCTTCTGCCAAAAAGGCGGTGTGGGAAGAATGTGAGGAAATCAAGGGTGTTGCTTAGCACCTGAAAACACTTCTTGAGGCTGTAAATACAAAGTGAAGAGCTGCCAGGCTGGCTGGGGTCAGACGAGGCTCTGATCTCAGGCTCGGTGGTTATCGAGGAGCCACACTTGCTCTGTCTGTTTACAGAAAACCCGGGCCCATCACCGGCTGCAAGACGATGTGCCTGCAGACATAAAAAAGAGGCGGCTGGAGGAGCTCATTACTGTCTTTCGAGAGGAGGCTGCGAGGGCAAACGAGGCGATGGTGGGCCAGTCTCAGCTGGTGCTGGTGGAAGGGGTGAGTGTGCCTGGAACGGAGCTGTCCCCCTCCCCTCTTGCTGGGCGGGAGGCTTGTAGGCTGTACACAGCAATCGTCACCTCGGCCTTCCCTTCTCGCCTTCCCCACACAATCCTAGGACTCCCAAGACCGTGTCTTCCCACTTAAGCAGACAGCCTGATTTTTCCAGAGCACTGAGCTGAGCACAGGGGGATGAGATGGGCTAGAGACGTGTCTCTGGCCAAGCACTGAATTAGCACAGGCTTTGAAACGCTGGCTTTGGTGTGTGGGCATCAGCACAGCAGCTCTAGCTTAAGAGTGGAATGTGGATTTTAATACTGGCAATAGCGCTCAGTTAATTCCTGAGGCAATAAAGCCCAGCAGTGAATCAGAGCTGTTGCCATGCAGGTAATGTTTCCTGTCCTCCTTTCAGCCCAGCAAGCGCTCTGCCTCGGAGTTGTGTGGGAGGAATGACGGCAACATCAAGGTGATCTTCCCCGATGCCGAGGTGGCGGATGCTGCGGGCTGCGAGGCTCTGGCCAGAGCCCAGCCAGGGGACTATGTGCTGGTGAAGGTGACCTGTCTGCAAGACTTGTTTCCTTGGGCTCTCTTTCTTGCACAGTGCTGTTCTCTAGAGCAGCTGCTGCCAGGAGAGCCTAAAATTAGAACAGATCCTCCTCAGCCTTTCTGTTCCTGAGGGCTGTCGTGCTGTTTCTTTCAGGTAACCTCTGCCACCTCGCAGACCTTGAAGGGAGTTCTGCTCTGTCGTACCACCCTCTCCCGCTCTGCGGCTTCTCACTGAGGTGTCCCTGCTGCCCGTGGACAGAAGCAGCGTGTTTTCTCCAGGAAGAAACAAGGAGGTTTGGCCAGGTGGAGACAGCATAGAAACAGGGAGATATTTGTATAATAGAATATATATATGAAATAATAATAATAAAAAAAATACGTATTTCTGTTTGGCAACAACCTACCCCTCCTAGATCTGTGCAAGTTTGTAGGCTAAAGGGATGGAAGCTGCGTATGGACTTGCCAAACCCAGGTACCGTATGATCTCCTATTTTCACTGGCTCTCAGGCCCGGCCTGCCCTTGCGGTGCTGCCGGTCTGGCCTCCACGGCAGCCCGGCCTGAGAAATGGATGTCTGCAGAGCAGGGCATTCCTGCTAGCTCAGGTGAATTCAGGAGCTGCAAAAGCTGGTAGCGCCGACAAAATAGAGCTCCAGTAACTGCTGGAGAATGGCAGGAGTACTGCCAGAGGGGATGAAGAACTGAAAGAACAGGAGAAGATTGTGAAGAATTCCTTCCAAATCTTGGTAACTTCCCTGTCTGCAAAGTTCTTGGAAAGGGGGAGTAAGAACCTGGACTGTGCCTGTATGATGGAACGTGGCACTGAACTGTGGAATATAAAAGGGTGTTTACCATGCTCGAGTGATGCTTAATCGGTTGTGTCTGAGGCTGAGGGATGTTGCCCTTGTACTGGGGCTGTTCAGGTCTAGGTTAGAGAGGATTTCCCAGCCCCAGGCCTAAGGGCGTGCGTGATAAGGACTGGCTGCCAGCTGAGGGTTATCTCTGTTAAAGCTTTGGGTGCAGCTTTGTCCCCTTTGCACACTTGAGGAGAGAAGTGGTTGTACCAATTTAAATGGCCAGGAAGTTCTTTAAGCGCATCTTACAGTTGCTTGTTTTCGTCAGCCTGCAGCTAACCCTGGCTGCACTGTGCCATAGTCCAGCCTGGCCCTCTAGATCCAAACAAGTACCCGTGACCTGCTCTTGTAAGAAAACTCATGAGATGTGAGAAAGAATCGCCCCCTTTCATATAGATAATGATGTTATTCAAAGAAATCATTGTAAAAGACTATCCAGTGACAAATTCTGAAGGAACAGCTGATCAACTTAATAGATCAGTCATGACATGAATTTGCAGAATTTTTAAATAAACATGAAAGGATTTTGCTAGAAAGTCTTTTCTCAGCAATTTCTGGGATATAATTGTATCTCTTTGAAAACAGCATGGTTCTCTGAATATTCATTAGGGCTCAGTTTAAAAAACAAATGCATTTTGCTTATTATCTCAGAGCCGCTTCCCTTCCCTAGAAGGGGATCTGCACAAGCGCCTCTAGTCGCTCTCGGGTCCGAGGTGCCACCAACTCCACGGTGCCGTTCCAGTCCCCTCAGGGGAAAGTGTCCGGGGCCCAAATTCACAAACCGGGTCTCCGAGCTCCGCTGCCCGCTGGGCGAAAGCCTGTGACCAGCCTCAGGAAGAGGCAGCGAGGAGCCGCTTGGTCTGAAATACCAAAGGGAGCAGCAGGATGCATAAGCATCATCCCTCAAAAGTGACAGGCGCTGAAGCCAATGTGTGCTTGCTAATTAAAACAACAGGGAAAGTGGCCCAGTTCTAACTGCCCTGCAGCACCTTTTTCCTGTGCATCTTGCAAGTGTGCCCCAAGCCAGCACCCCCTGAACAGGGCTGGCACCCCCCTTTCACTCTTCCTTTTGACCTTCTCCCCCCAAGCTCCCGTTCCCAGGGAGGAAGGCAGGCTGCAGTGTGCCCTCCCAGCTCCAGCCGCCTTTAAGGCCAGCTGCTGGTGTTTTACAATCATTATTTTAAGAGCAGGAGACTAATGAGGAGGAGAGCTGGGTTTTACATTTTGATGAGAAGGTGATAACGCTCACTGCACGGGCTCCCCAAGGAGCCCTAGCACTTTCCATTTGCCTCGCCTCCTTAGTTTTTATAGGCCTCGGGAATGAAGGCTGAGGTTTTAAGGCAGCGAAGCATCCATTAGGAAGCGCTCACAGTGACCTTGGAGGCTGAGTTAGTCATTTGGCACTGCCTGGAAGCAGGAATGGGTTTTCTTCTCGGGGGCTAGAGGCGGGATGTGGCTTCTGTATCACTTGTGAGAAGATTTGCTCCCTGATTTCGGCGGGTGGGAAGGCTGTTTGTGTCTTGTGTTCATTCTGCCTCGTGCTGCTTGTACGTTTCTTTTCCCAGCCTGAGCAGGGATGAGAGTCCTGAATTCCACAGGGCTTTAACCCTCTCACGCTGATTTATACCTGTGCCTTCTGCAGCTGGGAGCTGAAGTGGTGGGGTATTCTGGCATACCTCGATGATGGAAGGGATTTGTTTTGCAGGAATTGCTGCTGTGAGAGCGCTGTGGCTCCAAACTGAAATGCTGGTTAATGTAACCATGCATTTATCTCTGCTCTGCAGAGAGACACGGATCCAGGAATCGGTACCCAGCCTTGGTAGGGACGTGACTGTCCGAGATTTGTTGCCAGCAAAGAGGCCTGCTAGGGTTTTTATCTAGAACACCGGGTTTAAAAGTCTTAATTTCAACCAATTTTGTAAGCGTCTTCGTAAGATACATTTTGTACCAAAGCTCAGTCCTCGCCTCCACTATCCCAAACGCTCGGAACAAGTTCTGTTGCGTTCCTGAGGAGCTGCAGGAGACAGCAGCCCTGTTCAGAGCTGGGCCCTAGTCTTGTTCTTTCAGAAAAGAGCTGCGGTCAGCCCCTGCCAGGCCCTGCTTGCTTCTGGGCACAGGAGGGAGACGTTCCTCAGAGGCAAAACACTACTGCTTGCATGCGGGGTGGTATTTTGTTTTAGGGATGACTCAGGAGTCTTCCTCAGGTCAGACTCACAACTCTAAATCCCTCCTCAGTGCGCAGCCCCAGTGCTGCTCTGTGCAGTCAGCCTTCCTGTATCCACTCACCGGGGGTGGAAACTGCTAGCAGTAACAACTCCAGACCAGAAGTTACCAGCCTCAGGAAGTGGGGGGAAAAAAAAAAAAAAAGGAAAAAAAAAAGGCAAAAAAAAGCAGCATGTTAGAGCAATGGGAGTATTTATTCATATGGCTTTGGGGTTATCTGCTTGTTCTTTCTGCTCTTTATATCTTTACGGTTCCAAGTTTATATTCCCAGTATTGGGCAGAGTGAACTTCCCAGGTCAAGGAGATCAACCACCTTCTAGCCCTCCCCTGAACTGTTCCGACAAAATAATGTGTGTAGGATGCACCCTGGAAAAGGTACAGAGGAAATCACAGCAGTGATCTCTGTCCAGGTCCTTTGCTGGGGCAGGTTCTTTGGGCAAGAGCCAGCGGCTTAGCAGGGTGTGTGCGAAACGCGCAGAGCACCAGCAAAACCGCCCAGAGCCCACGAGCCGCCCCTGCTCCGTGCGGAGCTCCACCAGGCTCCTTAGCAGCCCGTGGCCGAGGCGGTGGACCCTCACTTGCCATCGGCACGGCCGGCGACGGTGACAGCCCATCAGCAGACGAACAGCCCTGCTGGAAAGGCCTGCTGAACTCCATCTGCTCAGAAAAAAGGCAGGCAGGCTCCAGCCTGCACGAGCCCCTGGGGACGTCAGCCGGGCGCGTAAACCAGACAGGAGATGGCCCTGGGGCTGCCCCACTGCCCCGCGTGGGGCCGGGCAGGGGCTGGGGCACGGCCCGGGAGCTCTCCCGCCTCGGGGTCGGTGCCGGAGCCGTGTCGGTCAAGCCCCCGCGCCTGGGGACACCGGCGCAGCGCGGCAGCTCCAGCGTCACCGGTGCCTCCTGACAAAAACTGGGATTTAGTGCTGCTGCTGCGGGCAGGTCTGGGCCGTGGCCGTGCCCGAGCCGGCTGGCTGCAGTGGCAGCGGGCCGAGGGCGCGGGACGGCGCTGCCGGGGTCTGCAGCCCCTGTCCCCCAGCTCCAGCCACTCCGCTTGGGTCTTTTAATCGAGTTTCTGATGAAAGCGGGGTCTCATTCTGAGCGACAGCCTCCGCTGCCAGAGCAGAGCGGCTCTGGGGGGCTGTTCTCCTCCACACCCCTCTGGCTCCCCGACCCCCTCGAGTCCCCCCCGCCGCAGAGGGGCCGGGGCCGGGCTCGCCGGTCAGCGTTAGCTCGCCCCGCGCTTCGCGGCGGCAGCGCTCTGCCCTCTCGCAGGAGCCAGGAGCCACGTCCGTGTCCCTGCCTGTCCCACCGCTGCCGAGCGTCCGGATTTATCTGGTGTCCTCTTTCCCGCGCTGGGCTGGGGTTACTGGGAGGGCTCGGTCGGTCCTTCCCAGGGGGAGCAGGGCTCTGCCCAGCCTCTCCTCACCAACAGCTCCCCCCTTCCCGGGAAGTTGTCCCTCTGGAGAACGCACAAAGCTTTTTTTTGCCTCTGTCCAGGCGGTTGTGCCCCAGTCACACCCATGGGCAAACACCTAACGAGGTATTTGGCAGATCGGTTTTCCGGGCAGATCAGTTTTCTGAGCAGACCTGAAGTGCTGGGATGACATTTTAGCCGTGCCCTGAGACGCCTCCCTGACACCTGGATTTCGTAACACGCAGCCCGCGCGCTTTCCTTTTCTGCTTGGAGTGTGTGTTGAGTGAGGCTGAGCACCACCGTGGACGCTCAAATAGCTGCACGTGGCGGAAAGGTCACTGTCAGAGAGAACAAGAGCCTGTTTGTTCCCCGGACTCCCACCGCACAGCCCTAAAGAGAGACCCTGTTTGTCCTCGGGTGGTGGCTGCGCGGCCGGGGCGGAGGGACGGACGGCAGCGGGCGCCCTGAGCCAGTGTTCATCTGCTCACTGCTGCCATTTATCGGCCTAAGGACAATTTCAAAATAAATGCCCATCGCTGCCTGTGCTGCCCCCACCCAGCCTTGCTCCCTTCTCCAAGACTCTCTAAGCAGCTGAGGCAGAGTGGTGGGGCTTTTCTCGGCGCGGGAGCCGGCTGCGGTGTGTCACGTCCTTCCCCACAACTCCCGGCAGTCTGCAATCTGTTTTTTCCTCCACGTATCAGCGAAGCTGGAGGGACAGATTGACGTTTTCCCTGACGGCAGCCTGTAAGCACCGCGTGCGGGAGGGCAGCCGAAGCCCTCTGCTCCGCGGCGCGGTGGCGGGTGACGGGAGCTCTTGCCTCTGAGCGACGTGCCGAGCAGCCTGCCAGGCTGGAACGCTTTCCTTCCCTTTTCTCGTGGGTTTTCACTTGAGCAGACAGGCTTCAAGCGCTTGCCAGCCCTTTTCCCCCAGGCCTCCTCCTCCCTCCAGCACTACCGCTGAGGGGCCCATCGAGGTTTCCTTCAGTGGCTTTTTATCACCATTGGCTGAAGCTAGATCTTCGCGTAAAGCTTTGGGATTTAATGCAACATAAAGAACTTTTTAAAATGTTTTCCATTTCTAAGATTAGCTCTACCTCTAGGTCACTCCTTTCTGGAACTGGCTGTGGTCAGGTTCCAGCAGGAAGGTTGCGCCAGCTCCTCCGCTGCTGCTGGCAAATTCTGCTCCACTGGAAAGTCGACGGGCTCCCCGTCAGGGCAGCGGGCAGATGCTGGAACCTCCCCCACTGGTGTCCCCCCCACCCCGCGCCCGCTCCGGCCGGCGTTCCCGCTGTCCCCAGCCCCTCCGCGGGGCACCGCGCCGTCCCGGATCCGCGCCGGGCTGTGCCCGGCCGTGGCAGAGGCGCT